TCATTCCATATTCTTTCTCTATTTTTTTAAAAGATTTCAATTATTTACTTTTGCATAGAAAAACTGGGGTGCAGGTTAGAGGGGAGTGTGTGTGTGAGAGGATTCACTAAGACAGAGTGGGAAGCAGGACACACAGATCTACTGAAATACACTGCCGAGGGGAGCAGCAGGCAAGAGAGGAGAGGTCTGCTGTGCCATGTGAGTCACCAACTTGGTAGGGATTGAACTCAGGCCTTCACGGTAGTAGTGCTGAGACCTAACCCCTAGGCCACCAGGGAGGCCCTCCTTCTCTATTTTTTTAATAGATTTAATTTTTTTTATCATTTAGATCTAGTTTGTATTCATGTAAGTAAAAATTTATGGAGAACTGGAATTCTTTTCAAAAATCTGAAAAATGTATCTACATTATCACAGACTTTAAACACTCTCCTTTGAATCATCAAATATTAAGCTAACTCTGTGCTGATGCCACTGTGGTGGAGTAGAAAGAGTATATACTTTGGGATCACAGAGATTTATTGGTTGTATAGTTTTGGGCAGGTTACTTAATCTTTCTGATTCTAATTTATTCCTCTATAAAAATGTATAATACCAGTTATCTCCAAGAACTGTGTGAGAATCAAATAACATGGTGTATAAACTCCCTGGAAAGTGAAAGATTCTCAGGATCTAGTAACAATATTTGCCATGATTAAAACAAAATGGATGATGCAAGGAGGTAGTTAGAAATAGCACTAAATCAGGAATCAACATTTTGATTAGGACCAAACTTGTCACTTACCAGCCTTAACCTTAAAATATACACTTAACAGCTGACTTTCAGTTTTCTGATGCAAAATGAAAATAATTTATCTCTGTGCAACTCAAAGGATTGTAAAGCCCATTTTGTCTCTCATTTTGAAGCTTAAATTAAATAATGTTCTTTAGAGTGTATTGAAGTGCAAAGAAACAAACCTTTGGTTTACAATTTTTTTTAAATATAAAGAAAATTTTGATTTTCAACAAGGAGTTTTATTCCTGATTTGCTTCAATAGTTTAAGGATTTTACACCATGAAAGCACCCTTTGGCTTAAAAGGTGATATTCTGGGTTGAATCATCTTGTGCACATTTGGCTCTGTCCACTTGCCTCAGAAATAGAATAAATAGCTTTTTTTTTTTAAGATGTATTTATTTTTATTTTTATTTTTTTTTAGATTTATTTATTTATTTATTTATACAAGCACTGGGCACAATCAGAAGTGCAGGAGGGTGAGAGAATTCACCAGAGCCACAGCAGGGAGCAGAACAGGCAGACTGATGAAATACACTGCTGAGGGGAGCAGCAGGTGTGGCAGGAGAGGTCTGCGCACCATGTGGGACCCTAGCCAGCGGCCGGGGATTGAACCAGTGCTGCAGAGACCGCGGGCAGCTTCACAGCCCAGCACTCAACCGCTGCGCCACCAGGGGAGGCCCAGATTTATTTATTTTTATACACGAACCAAGGTACAGGCCAGATGTGCGGGAGGGTGAGAGGATTCACCAGAGAGAAACGGGAACAGAACAGGTAGACCAACTGAAATACACTGCTGAGGGGAGCAGCGGGCAAGACAGGAGAGGTCTGTCCCGCCATGTGGGTATCTCTGTGGCCGGTGGGGATTGAACCGGCACTGCAGAAGCTACAGACAGCTTCACAGTGCTGCGCTCAACTGCCTGGGCCAACAGGGAGGCCCCTGAATAACTTATTTTGATGAATGAATGACAACAGTAAATGGTCGAAGCTGTAATATGGTACTTCACATAATTTTTCTTCTAAACTGAGCATATATTGGTCTCTCTTTTAAACGAGCGAGTAGAATTTATAGATTATCAACAACACAAGAGACAGCAAATTTTCCTTGTCTAGGGTCAGATAGGCTGATGGGTGTGATTTTGTTCCAACAAAAGCTTGTTTACAAAAACAAGCAACAGAGCTTGGCCTGTGGGCCACAGCTTGGCTTTCAACCCCTCACTTAGAGAATTTTTTAGATGAGCACAAGCTGCTGAGTCATAATATGGAAGACAGTTTTTAAAGCAAAGACCAGGAAGGAGTTGAAAATTACAGTAGCAGAACACCTTCCCTCTTAAATCATATGTAGTCTTGAATATTTAGAAATATCAAAAACATGGCTAGATATATAACCAGTCCTCAATTCTCCCGAAGGTTTAGTGATCTTAAGTTAATATAGTATGTTCATCATGTTTTAGCTGACATCCCCCAAAAGTATTAGTAATAGGAAAATTCATTGTCCAACATTACTTTTTATGTTAGTTATGTCAATGATATAACTAAGATGAGAAATGGAATTAAAATGTTCAACACAGATTAGAAGATGATCTCGTCAAAGCCAAAAAATCAGGGATGATGTTTTCACCAATATATTCTAAGAGTTATAAGTGTAAATCCCTATGTATTAGGGGAAGAATATATAAAGTAGTATCTTGAACTGTTAATAAAATGCAGAGCTCAAGATGAGAAAGCCTATCCTTAAGTTTCTGAGGTAAACTGGAGTTTTGTCAGATGCAAACAAAATTATAACACTCTAAAATACCAAATGTCAATATTGAAATTTAACAAGTTGGTCTTTGAATGGATTTTGTGCTTGTTTTATTTTTGTTTGTTTGTTTGTTTTAAAGATTTATTTACGTATGCATACAAGAACTGGGGTATAGGCCAGAGGTGCAGGGGATGAGAGGATTCACCAGAGACAGAGTGGAGAACAGAACAGGCAGATCTACTGAAATCTGAAGGGAGCAGTGGGCCAGACAGGAGAGGTCTGCTGCACCATGTGGGTAGCTCCCTGGCTGATCAGCTGGGATCAAACTCGTGCTGCAGTGGCTGCAGAAAGCTTCACAGTGCTGTGTTTAACCCCTTGTGCTACCAGGGAGGCCTTGAATGGATATTAAAAACTTTATTCTGGGGCCTCCCCAGTGGCGCAGCATTTGAGCGCTGGGTTGCAAAGCTGCCCGTGGCCTCTGCAGCGCCAGTTGGATCCCCGGTCGCCGGGCGAGGGTCCCACATGGCGCGCAGACCTCTCCTACCGCCCGCTGCTCCCCTCAGCAGTGTACTTCGTCACTCTGCCTGTTCTACTCTCCGCTCTGGCTCTGGTGAATTCTCTCACCCTCCATGCCTCTGACTGTACCCAGTGCTTGTATAAATAAATAAATAAATCTTTAAAAAAAATTATTAAAAAAAACCTTTATTCTGAATTAAAATACCTTTGAATATTCTTTAAATATTACACATTATTTATTGTAGATGTTCTATCTTGTATGAGGACTTCTCACTCTTAACGTTATTTGTACTGAATTAAGGATCATTCAAATTTATACCTACAGTTTGATTCTATTTGCTTATACCACAAAATAGTAAGTTGCTTTATCACCAAGTAATATTAAGAATGCACATCCTGTGCTATTATTTCTTGTAATATGTTGACTAAGAAGATGCATTCATGTAGGAAAGCTGCAGGTGGGGTTAGAACATGTACACATCCTGGACCTCTTATAAAACATTTCAAAAGGCCTCTATTAACTTTCTACACTTATCTTTTAATTGCAAAATATAAAATATATCCTCAAAGTAAAGAAAGGACTTCATACCTATGCAATGCTTGTTTTCCTGACAATGTTTACCTTCCCATATGCTCATATCCATGTATCAGCTTACCTCCCAGAAGTTTCAACACCCATGCCCATTATTGAAGCACCCATGACACCCAACCTTGCCCTTATTTTGGCTATCACATTCCCTTCCGGCCAAATCACGCTCCTAGTCACCAGTACAGTTCCTTGCCCATTTTGTGTATCACTTGCAGGGCCCAGTGCAAAACAAAAATGCCAAATCCTTTGTTCAAAAAGTGGGGGAATGTGCTAATAAAGGCACTAAGTATAAAACATTACAGAACTAAACAGTCTTACCACATGATCTGCCAATTGAGGTTCTTAGAATGTCCCCAAAGGAGATGCAATTTAATCTGCACAAAACATGTACATGGATGTTTAAAAGCAGCTTTATTCATAAAAATGCCCATAACTTGGAAGCTACACTAAGATGTCCTTCAGCAATGAAGGGATAAATAAACTGTAGTACATCCAGACAATGGAATATTATTAAGTCCTAAAAAGAAATGAGCTATCACTCCTGTGTAAACCGCAGCGTCATTCACAAGAGCCAAGACATGGAGCCAACCTCAGTTTTCACTGACAGACCCTGGATAAAGACAATGTGGAACATGTACTCCACGGGATGCTACTCAGCTTCAGAGAAGATGAAATAATGCCTTTTGGGACAAAATGGAGGGATTTCGAGGTGACAGTGCTAAATGAAGTGAGTGAGAAAGTGAAGACAGTTACCAGATAGTTTTAGTCATTTGTGGAATAGAAATAACCAGTGAAGGGCCTCCCTGGTGGTGCAAGGGGTTAAGACGCAACCTATGAAGCTGTCCGCAGCCACTGCAGCACGAGTTCGATTCCCGGCCAGGGAGCTACCCATATGGCACAGCAGACCTCTCCTGTCTCGCCCACTGCTCCCCTCAGCAGTGTATTTCAGTCACTCTGCCTGTTCTGTTCCCCACTCTGTCTCTGGTGAATTCTCTCACCTACCCCCCCACACACCTCTGGCCTGTATCCCGGTTCTTGTATGCATAAATAAATAAATCTTAAAAAAAAAATAAATAACCAGTGAAATTTAGCCAAACGCAACTGCAACAAATCCTTAGTCACTGTGAAAAATGGAATGATTTAAGCCACCAACCGTGGTATGTTTGTTATTAGAAGCCCAAACTAAACTGCTGAGTGGACTATGAGGGTCAGAACCAGAACCCCTGCATTCACAGCCACTGGACAAAGTCACACCAATATCAAAACTTTGACTACATAACAAACCCTAAACATATATTATGTCTTTCTGCAGGAACTGAAGTTAAAAAAAAATCAATAGAGGACAAGTAAATGTAAATTAGTAATAAAAACTGTTACTCACCACCAGGCCAGGCACCATGCTAAGAGCTGTGCACACATGCAGGGAGTTCAAACCACAATCCTAGGGGCATTAGATTCTCTAAAGTACAGATACAGAAACTGAGATTCAGAGAAGTTAAATAACCTGCCTAAAACCTCACTGCCAGTAAACTCATCTCTGCACATGTAATGTTGAGAAGATAGGAGGCTTCTCATTTAGCAAAGGACCCCAGAAAAATATTTGTGCAGCCTAAATCCCAGAGAATAGTGGGACCTATGTTCCATGTTGGAACCACTAGTTGTATGGTATAGAATGAGAACTGGGGTGATATCAATGAGGTAATTGTTTTTTTCATATTTACTTCTTCTGTTCCAGAGAGCTGAACCTCTTCCTTCCGAGTATAGAAATGCACTTTAGAGCTTTACCTCATAACAAAGGGAAATATGTCATACTACTACTTATTTTAAACCAACCCCTGGAGTGCTGTGATTTGTCCATCTTTGATCAAAGATTCTTCCCAAGCAGGCTGATTTTATGAAATTTCCTAAGCCGTGTTAAATGGCATCCCATTAGCATTGACATGAATGAGGAGCGAGGGGTGGGCTCAGCACAAAAGCATGACCTCTTATTAGTTGCTATTCTGATACTTTATTTGTCAGCACTGATTCAATGGCAGGGAGAGAAGGCTCATAGGAGATTATGTAGAGTCTGCTACACTTTACAGCCTTTCTCAAGCCATCAGGGTAAAGAATTGACTGCTACTTACATCCATAATTATATGTGGCATTTTGGCTCTGTAATTAAATTCAAAATAAATCACATGCAGCAATTTGTTAAATTTAAATAATGTTACAAAAAATGAAAAGATCAGTGAATGAAATGAGCTTCTGAACTTAGGGATATGATTTGAGGAAAGACCGTCATTCACTCAAACTAGCAGGGTTTGTGGCTGCAAAAATAAACACAGCAACACTTAACTCTGCTGAATCTAGGATGTGATGAGGCCATTAAAATCTGTGCCCCTGGACTGGGTTATACAGGAAAAAACTAATAAACTCACACATATAGGCAATTTAAACTTTTAGCTCAAAATATGTCATGTATGTAGTCCAATTTCAATTTATTTTCCAAGTGATTTAATATTCTATAAGAATTATATATAATATTATTAAAATCTGGTAGAATTTTTCCAGTCCTTCAGAAAAAGTTGTGGTACAAAGAAGAGATTTATCCAAATCAGTATCAGAACTAGGATAAATCAAAACAGCCATGTATAATAACAATAACAACTCTCGATGTTTGCTTGATTTTGCTGTTGTTGTCCTTAACAAGATATCCTGATATAGTCCAGAAAGTCTTTTGATTTGTGGTCATTTTTACCATCCACTGTCATTTGGGGGATACAGGGTGGGGCAGGGTGAGAGGGGTGGCCCAGGGCCAATGGACTTGCCCAATGGACTGAGATTAAGTAGAAGAATCATAGGGCATTTTCCCCAGTGTCATCATAGAAAGAGCTTGAAGGCCAATACCTAAACATTTGGCATGGGAGACGAAGCTGAATGATTGCTCTGTGTGGTAGAACACAGTGTACTGCTGTGGCTAGGGGTATAAAGGCCTTCACCTCTCCGGTTGGGTGAAATATCTCATTCTGGACGGGCTAATGAGAGAGACATGCAGCATCTCCATTGGGTTTATAAACTTTACTCTGCTTTTTGCTCACTTTAACAGTAAATCAAAGTAAAAGCAATCTTGAACCAAGTCTGATTTACTGTTCTTGCCCACCCTTAAACTTGAACCAAACTTTGTGACCTGCTGAATGCAATGCAGTTAGGCTTCCATGGCCAAAACCAGGTCCCCATTAACCTGAATGATGAGATAATATAGTCAGTTCTACATCTGTCCTTAAAATAACCAATAATTCTCCAACTTGTCAAAGGAACAACCCACTAAGATAGACAGAATCTGTAATCAACCTTTTAAAATGTCATACTTTTATCTAAGAAAATTTGTATTTAATTTATATTTTTTGTTACTAAAGGACTGATCTAATTTTCCCAAAATGAAAGGCATCTGTTCTATGAGTTGGTATATGCCATATATCACTATCTTATTAGAAGTGAGTCAGTAAGTCCAGCCCCCACTTAGAGGGTATTATATAAGGGAATGAATAGTAGAAGGGAGAGGTCACTGAATGATTGTCAACCCTCATGATATTCAATCTCATTAATAATCAAGAACCAAATGACAAGATACCATTGTAATCACTTAGAAAATTAAAAAATGGTAGTATCGGGGTATTGCCAAAGTGTGGTGAAACAGGCTTCATTAGGAGCAGAGAGTGTTTTGGAAAGCACTCTATAAAAATGCATTAAGATTCATTTAAATATTCACATCTGTTTAATCTACTAATTCAGCTTCTCATAATCTATCCCAAGGAAACAGTTATAAAAAACAAAAAACAAACCAAAAAATCTGAAGCATGGATGTAATTACAATAATATTATATACTTAGAAGAGTAAAAAATTGAAAGGAATGAGAAAATAATGAGAAAAGAATGGTTAACTAGAGGTTCCTCTATTTTGTAGAATGTTATACAATCATTGTTTTTAAGATCATGAGATAATATTGTGAAAATTAAATTATAATATTGCTATAATTTAATATGAAATGAAAAAATAGATATAAAATTCTTTGTAAATTATGGTTATTACAAAGTAAGAATATTTATAAGAATAAGTAAGTAAAAGAATTACTCCAAAATGCTATCAATAACTTAATGTAAGTGATGGAATAAGAGATAATATTTTTTTCTTTTGTTGACTACTTTTAATGTTTTTGGATTGCAGTTGTTAAAAAAAGAAAAAATAAATATGGAGAAAATCCATCGATATACATCTATAGCTGGGATTATAAAACACCAAGTCCCTCTGAAAAATTCTAGGCTTGGCCTGGCCCAGTTATATTTTCTGTGATGTCAAGTGTCTCTTAAATTTGATTTACCCAAAGGCTTACCTGAAAAATATCACCATGAGCTGAATGTAGTCCCAAAGATATCAGGTTGTAATCCCTGGGATTGGTAAATGTTACCGTGTATAAAAAATAGTCTTTGTAGATAGGATTAAATTGAGCATTTTGAGCTGGGGTGGGGGCTTACCATGGATTATCCAGGTGGTGCCTAAATGCCATAATATATATCCTTATAAAAGTCAGGCAGAGGGAGAGTTATACACAGAGAAGAGAATGGGGGCATTCTCTGGAGTGGTGCAGCATAAGTCAAGAAATGTGGCAGCCACCAGTGACTGGAAGAGGAAAGGAACAGATTCTCCACTGAAGCCTCTGGCAGGACTCTGGTCCTTCCCACATGTTGATTTAAGGTCGATAAAATTGATTTTGGACATCTGGTGCCCAAAACTATAAGAGAATAAATTCTTGGTGTTTTAAGTCATTTAGTTTGTAGTACTTTGTTTTAGTGGTCATAATGATTTTACCATTATTGGAACTCATGCACTATGGTTTTCAGAGAAAAGACAATATATCAATAGTTAGGTTCATTACTTTTGAGACTTCTAAAGATGATCGTTATACAGCATATCTTAAATCTTCATTTTATAAATAGATATATTCACTGTTCCAGCAGCACATTCGATTGTATCAAGTAAGGGAAACTTGCTGTCCTACAAAAGTAGGCACTATTAGGATGGCTACACCACAGCTGTTTACATATGTCAAAGGTTTAGAACTAGACAAGAGAAAATCAAAATCTCTATGAAATACAGATGACATGACATGTACCAACAGTATCTTCCACAGTTTATCTCATGTTTCTTGGATATTTTAATTTCAAGCTAAATAGTTAAAGATGTCACATGTTAAGAAAAATATGGCCTTGGGCCTTCCTGGTGACACAGGGGTTAAAGTCTCAGCGCTATCAAGCTATTGACAGTCAGTGCCAGGGAGCTAACCCACATGGCACAGCAGACCTCTCCTGTCTCGCCTGCTGCTCCCCTCTGCAGTGTATTGCAGTAGACCTGCCAGTTCTGCTCCCCACTCTGTCTTACCCTGCTTACCTCTGGCCTACACCCCAGTTCTTGCATGCATAAATAAATAAACCTTTATATGCAGAACAGGCAGATCCACTGAAACAGTGGATGCAATGACCGGTGATTGCTTGACAGTGCTGTGTCTTTAACCCCTGAACAATCAGGGAGGCCCCGAGTTTCCCTTTCTGTACTACTTTGCATGTCCCAGCAGTGTTCTGCTGAGCAAAATTCAGACTAAATTTTAATGTTTTATATATATGCACCAATATGTTCTTCAATCAGTGAACAAATAAACAAATTCCTAAAATGAGATATGTGTAAAAATTCTTATCTTCGGTTTCTTCAGGCACCATAGTGGGAATTCAATAAAATGTTAGTTTTTCTTTTTTTCCTTTCCCAGCTGCAGCAGCTGGGGCCCACAGTCTGGTACATTCTATAATGATCTATCCCTACAATGGAAGACATCTAAGAAATAAAAAGGACTGAACTACTGATGCTTACAACAACATTGATGAATCTCAAACACATTATGCTAAGTAAATGAAGCCACACTCCAAAGGCTATGTATTATCTGATCGCATTTATATGGAATTTGGGGAAAGCTAAAATTGTAGGGACAAAAAACAGATGTGTGGTTGCCAGGAGCAAGTGGTAAGAAGGTTGGCTGCAAAAGAGCAGCATGAGGGAGTTTGAGGGATGACAAAACTGCTGTATCTGAATTCTGGTGGTGGTTACATGACTATGCTTTGTCAAAACTTATAGATAAAAGTAGGAAAAGAGTGGGTTGACTGCATGTAAAAAGAAAAGATTGAGTGACTTATGTAAGGTCATTAGATTAGTCTGGCACTATTTCCTGTGTAGAATATCTATCTCTGGCACTTTCTTTTTTTAAATATTATTTAATTTTTAAATTTTATACATTTTTTACATCATTTTTCATTTTTGCACAATGTATGCATTTTCATCTTGGTTATATTCCCCATACAATTCCCACCCCCCCTTATTTTGACCCTAATCCGTCCTCCCTTCTGCTCCCTCCCCACCCCA